CATATACTTGCAACATCTGCCACATTGCTCCTCTATCCACTCTATCATATGCCTTTTCTAAATCCATAAATGCAATAAAAACCTCCCTACCTTTATCTAAATACTATTCACATATATGCTTCAATGTAAACACTTGATCTACATATCCCCTACCCACTCAGAAACCTCCTTGCTCATCCGCAATCCTACATTCTGTCTTACCTCTAATTCTTTCAATTATAACCCTACTGTACACTTTTCCTGGTATACTCAGTAAACTTATTCCTCTATAATTTTTACAGTCTCTTTTGTCCCCTTTCCCTTTATATAAAGGGACTATACATGCTCTCCGCCAATCCCTAGGTTCCTTCCCCTCTTTCATACATTTATTAAACTAAAGTACCAACCACTCCAACACTATATCCCCCCCTGCTTTTAACATTTCTGTCATGATCCCATCAGTTCCAGCTGCTTTACCCCCTTTCATTCTACGTAATGCCTCACGTACCTCCCCCACACTTACATTCTGCTCTTCTTCACTCCTAAAAGATGGTATACCTCCCTGACCAGTGCATGAAATTACTGCCTCTCTTTCTTCCTTAACATTTAAAAGTTCCTCAAAATATTCTCCCCATCTACCTAATACCTCCATCTCCCCATCTACTAACTCCCCTACTCTGTTTTTAACTGACAAATCCATACTTTCCCTAGGCTTTCTTAACTTGTTTAACTCACTCAAAATTTTTTTCTTATTTTCATTAAAATTTCTTGACAGTGCCTCTCCCACTCTATCATCTGCTCTCCTTTTGCACTCTCTCACCACTCTCTTTACCTTTCTTTTACTCTCCATGTACTCTACTCTTCTTATAACACTTCTGCTTTGTAAAAACCTCTCATAAGCTAACTTCTTCTCTTTTATCACACCCTTTACTTCATCATTCCACCAATCACTCCTCTTTCCTCCTGCCCCCACCCTCCTATAACCACAAACTTCTGCCCCACATTCTAATACTGCATTTTTAAAACTATTCCAACCCTCTTCAACCCCCCACTACTCATCTTTGCACTAGCCCACCTTTCTGCCAATAGTCGCTTATATCTCACCCGAACTTCCTCCTCCCTTAGTTTATACACTTTCACCTCCCTCTTACTTTTTGTTGCCACCTTCCTCTTTTCCCATCTACCTCTTACTCTAACTGTAGCTACAACTAAATAATGATCCGATATATCAGTTGCCCCTCTATAAACATGTACATCCTGGAGCATACCCATCAACCTTTTATCCACCAATACATAATCTAATAAACTACTTTCATTACGTGCTACATCATACCTTGTATATTTATTTATCCTCTTTTTCATAAAATATGTTGTGTATATATAAAACTATAATTAATCTATAAAATGTATTTTTTGTTAATATTTTTGGGTGTCTGAAATGGATTAATTGGATCTACTACTCTGAAGAAAACTGCTCAGACAAAGTGTTTTGTCTGTGCACATTTAAAAAAAAAAAAGCCCACAAATATGCACTCTCATTTTATGTGCGAGGAGTGTAAAACACCATTGTGTATGAAACTACGTTTCAAAGAGTTCCACAAGCTGCAGAACGTCTAAGAACATGTCCAATGACTGTACATTTATATATATCATAGAACAATAGTAATAAAAAAATTTTTGTATTGTTTGTGCAAACAAGTTTTGTAAATATACAGTGGACCCCCGGTTTACGATCAGCTCCCAATGCGACCAATTATGTAAGTGTATTTATGCAAGTGCGTTTGTATGTGTATGTTTGGGGGTCTGAAATGGACTAATCTAATTCACAATATTCCTTATGGGAACAAATTCGGTCAGTACTGGCACCTGAACATACTTCTGGAATGAAATAATATCGTAAACCGGGGGTCCACTGTATTGATAATTATCTTTGGGCGCTTATTGTGTTGTATACTACATGTATATATACGTACATTGCACCTTACTTTGGTCTCACAGGCCATGTAGGTTACCTGAAAAAATGAAGTACTGTAGTGGAAAAAACAAGAAACCTTCGAATAGGAGCAAATATAAGTGTATGGGGTGAGCTGCATTTGCCGCTGTTGCCATACGCGACTCGTTTTCTCCCAACTTTATGCCTCTATATCTCAGTTAGTAATGATCGCAAACAATTTTTTGTTAGGTTTAAAATACTCAGCAAAATAATCCTAACATTTGGTAAGAAAAAAATAATTTTTTTATTTTTCCAATATTTTTCAACATAGAATGACAGTTTCAGAAATGGGCTTGCAACAGTCAAAAGGTTAAATCTCTAAAGCCAGTCTTTGCTGGCCCTAAATTCACTAACAGCAGCACTTGTTCCAGGCATTTCTTTTACAAGATCTGCATGCAACTGCCTTGCCTTCTCACAAATCATCGACTCCGCAACACTATCTCCTGCTAATTGTTTTTCGGTGATTCACAAAACCATCAACTTCTCCCTATCTTCCATTATCTTTGCCAGGACAGAAGTGATTGTTGATTTGTTTTCCCATACATCCTGGCAAGTTCCAGAACCCGCACACTACTCTCATACTTTTCAATAACTTCTTTCTTAACCCTTTGAGGGTCAACAGGCCCTCTCCTAAACTTGTTCTCAGGGTCGGCCAAATTTAAAAAAAAAAAAAATTATTTTCTCTTATGAAAAGATAGAGAATCTTTTCCCGATCTTAAAGACACCAAAAGTTTGAAATTTGATGGAAAACTTACGGAATTATGCTCTCGCAAAGTTAGCGGTCTCGGCGATGTTTATGCATCGGCGATTTTGCCCACTTTGAGCCCCATTTTCGGCCAATTTCACTGTACTAGTCGACAAAAAACATGAATATTTCGCTAGAACTCCATTTTTTCTATCGAATGGGTGCAAGAAACCACCCATTTATGAAATTCAACTATCCAGTACAGTGGTCAGAATTTAGCAATTTTGCCAATTTCACACAAATTTCAAAAGATGCCAATTTCCGAATAGGGTCCAGAATAAACAAGAAAGACATTCCTGGCACTAAAATGACATTTCCTCTGGTCATTAGTCACGTCTCAAGGCCCCTCTTATATTCTTTTGCTTTCCGCTTTGAATTTTTATTCTCAGAAAAACTATAAGATTTACTGTTATGCAGACTACTGCATTAGTGTAAAAAATGGTATAAATATTATTGGTCGCACTTGTGAAAGAATATTAGACTCACCAGTTGACGTGTATTGCACGCTTGGCACGATTTGTTTACTTTTGAAATTTGGTAAAAATCGAACATTTCTGCTACTTTGAGCTCAATTTCAAGGTACCTTTCATTGTAAAACCAGTCAAAATCATCTCAATTTCTGTAATATGTCTTCCATTCTATAAAATGAGACCAAGAAAACTAGAATACAACAATAAATACCATACGAAAATACAGTGCAAAGTCGCTGTTTTATTCCAAAAAAATGGTCAAAGTTTTTTTTTTCTCATTATGCACTGTGTGCTGCAGGATTTTTTTTAGACTGTGCACACTGACCACATAGACCCATTCTTTCATATGAAGGCCTACCAGCTTTCTCCCACTAGATTTGAGGGCGCTAGAATTTAGGCGTACTAATATGTCAAAAACCCTGGGTCGTAAGCCGTACTAGTATGTCCAAAACCCTCAAAGGGTTAAATTCCATCGTGTTTCTCACTTTCTTTACCAAAGTACATTTACTAGGAACTTTCTTTGGGGCCATGGTTACTAATTTCCCAGTTGCACTTAATCAATAACCATGAAAATCAATGAATTATAGTGAAATGTTTGGACAAATGAACAGAACAGAAGCTTCCTTACTCGCCCAGAGACCTGGTCACAGACCGGGCCGCGGAGGCGTTGACCCCCGGAACTCTCTCCAGGTAAACTCCAGGTAAAGACAAAGCCAAGGCTGATGCGCTCACGGCTGGTGGTGGCAGGTTGACATGTATCATACGGCCAATAAGCGAATTAATGGCTAATAACTGGGAACCCAAAAAACGGCCATTAAGCAGAATGGCCAACAACCGAGGGTCCACTGTACGTCACTAAGTGAAGAAAGGCTGTACTTTTAAAAGTTAGTTCTTTATCAAGGCAATTATATTTTATGGATGTTAATTTTAAGCATGAGTGAAGAGTTCCTGTTTGTTTATTATAGATTACTCAGTTACTGAGGTGCAGAGCAGTGGAAGCTGAGATTACTTGACCCCACTCTCCTACTCTCTTTCCCCAATACTTTACCCAGGTGCACACTTGCCTTGACCATAGTATTTCCACAAGCACCTGATACTGTACCCTCAAGATAAAAGTGAGCATATGTAAGAGAACATATGCACTATATTGTTCGATACAGTGATAAGTCAGTTGCTAGTGCTGTCAGGTAAGATGCAAGAGTGGGAGATAAAGAGTGAGTGGAAAGAAATGCAAGAAGGAATGAGTGAGGAAGAGAAGTAAGGCAATAGGACAATGGAGGAAAAGGTTGGAAATGGAAACAAGAACTCATCTTTGTACTGTACATTATTTTGAATTTTATTGAAAAAATTTATTAGATATGAATTATAGTTGGGAACACATCTAAGATTATGACATGAGTATCCATAAGAAACGTGGTTCCAAATCTGGAACGAACAATTTTCAGGAAAGAATCAAGATCGTAAGTGGAGGGGATCTACTGTTAATCACGAAATATTTTATAATGTAAAAACACAATAACAATGCTCATATTTTTCTCATTTTTTTATACTGTGTAGCAAAAATATCCATTGTTTTTATATTTATGTATTGTGGCTGCTGAAGGCTAATTATAGGAAAATGTTACTGGACCTATTATGAAAGGTTTATATAATAAGTTCACATATGAAAGTGTAGACTGTGCAGCTGGACTCAATAACATCAAATGATACATATCTGCAAATTAATTACTAACTGCACAAAATTTGCTGAATTAGTTGAGTACTGTAATAATGAATCCTTGATAATCTCTGGAGGTTACAAGAAGCAATATACCTGGCAGCAATGGAGTTTCAGGTTCACTAAGGGTGCTGGGGCTGTCCTCGGCAATATAATCAGTCCCTGTCCAAAGTGCTGCATCTCGGTACCTACCAGGAATCCGGCGCTCTCTCTTCTTTCTCTCTGCTCCAACCAAAATTACCTCAGATCCAGTTTCAATTACTGTCTTTCTGAAATCCTAAAACAAACACAATAATTACATGTCTGCTATTTTTTTTAGAATGTCATTTATTCTGTAGCCTACTTAGTTTTGGAAATCTATTTCCAAACAATATACAATAAAAATAAAAATAAAAATTGGATATCACATTGGAGGGAGGGAGTATGGAAGAAATGAATGTTTTCAGATATTTGGGAGTTGACTTGTCAGCAGATGAGTTTATGAAGGATAAGGCTAACAACAGAATTGATGAAGAAAAAAAGGTGAGTGGTGCATTGCGGTATCTGTGGATACAGAGAACGTTATCCATAGAGGCAAAGAAGGGAATGTACAAGAGTATAGTGGTACCAACACTCTTACATGGGTGTGAAGCATTATAAATTCTGCAGCAAGGAGGCAGTGGAGACATCCTGTTTAAGAGCAATGTGTGGTGTAAATATTATGCAGAGAATTCGTACTGTGGACATTAGGAGGATGTGTGAAGTTACTAAAAGTATTAGTCAGAGGGCTGAAGAGGGGCCGTTGAGGTGGTTTGGTCATTTTGAGAGAATGGAATAAAGTAGAATGACTTGGAGTGTATAAATCTGTAGGGAAAGGAAGGTGGGGTAGGGGTCATCCCCAAAAATGTTGGAGGGAGGGGGTAAAGGAGGTTTTGTGGGCAAGGGCTTGGACTTCCAGCAAGCTTGCGTGAGCTTGTTAGATAGGAGTGAATGGAGATGAATGGTGTTTGGGACCTGACGAGCTGTTGGAGTCTGAGCAGGGTAATATTTTGTGAAGGGATTCAGGGAAATCGGTTAGCCGGACTTGAGTCCTGGAAATGGGAAGTACAATGCATGCACTTTAAAGGAGGGGTCTGGGATTTGGCAGTCTGGAGGGATGTCCAAGCTGTCGTATCTGAGCACCCCTGCAAAGACAGTGATTATGTATGAATGATGGTGTAAGTGTTGAATGATGATGAAAGTTTTTCCTTTCTTTTGGGGTTTTTCGTTCATTTTGGGTCGCCCTGCCTCGGTGGGAAACAGCTGATGTGCTAAAAAAAAATATACATAATAAGGTTTTGCATGCTAAATGTAATCTTGTTAGTTGACATCCATGTGTGAATTTTTTTTTAAATTCTTCACCAGCTGGTATTTATGGTGATAAAGTCAAATCTTGGAATGACATATAATATCAACAACACATAACTGGTCTGAGGTGTTGAGCGGCATTAAGAAGATAATTATTACACATGAAGAGCAAAAGAGGACCAAATATGCAGCCTTGGGAAATGAACATGTATTAGGAGTTTATTAGTAATAGTGTCAGTTATGTGAAGATACTGGTGTCCTTTGAGAACTAGGAGAAAACAGAGTAGGAAGAGGAAGAGAAAAGGACAAAGATGAAGATGAGAAAGAAGAATAAGAGGGGAAAGATGATGATAGAGAGAGAGGAGGAGGAAGAGTAGGAAAAGGATGAGGAAGAAAGAATAACAGAGGAGAAAGAGGAAGAAAGAAGAGGAGAAGAGTAGAAAGAGGAAGAAATAAAATTAGAGGGAGGGCGAGAAGAAGGGAAGAAATGGGGAGGAAGAAGAGTAGAGGATGACAAATATGAGGGAGAGGATGAAGAGGACAAGGAGGATGAAAACAAGGAGAACGAGGACAATGAGGACGAAAACAAAGAGGACGAGGACAAGGCGAATGAAAACAAGGATGAGGAAGAGGACAAGGATGAAGAGGAGAGGAGGACAAGGAGGTAAGGAAGAGGAAGGGAGAAAGGAAAGGGAAGGGAAAAAGTTAAGGGGAGGGGAGAAGGGAAGGTGGAGGGAAGGACAAAATGAGGAAGGGATAGAAGAAGAAAGGAGAGGGAGAGATGGAGGGAGGTATGACAAGGATGGATAAAAGGTGGGAGGTAAGGAGAATGGGAACAGAACATAAAGGAGGAACACTGCAACAGGCCTATTGGCCCATACTAGGCAAGTCCGTCACAATCCATCCCTCTTAACAAAATATTTGCCCAACCCAATTTTCAATTCTACCTAAGCAATAAGCTTTGATAATGCTATTAACTCATATGCAAATCCCATCCCTCTCATTCATGTATTTATCCAACCTAAATTTTAAACTACCCAAGGTTTTAGCCTCAATAACCCTACTAGCATAAGCAAGCAAGATTTCAGGCATATCTTGCTACTTCTACTTACACTTAGGTCACACTACACATGAATGTACAAGCATATATATATATACACCCCTCTGGGTTTTCTGCTATTTTCTTACTAGTTTTTGTTCTTGTTTATTTCCTCTTATCTCCATGGGGAAGTGGAACAGAATTCTTCCTCCGTAAGCCATGCATGTCGTAAGAAGTGACTAAAATGCCGGGAACAAGAGGCTAGTAACCCTTTCTCCTGTATACATTACTAAAATTAAAGAGAGAAACTTTTGTTTTTCTTTTTGGGCCACCCTGCCTCGGTGGGAAACAGCCGATTTGTTGAAAGAAACCCTACTAGACAGACTGCTCCACTCATCAACTACCCTTTTTCCAAACCAATACTTTCCTATATCCTTTATAAATCTAAACTTGTCTAATTTGAATCCATTATTGTGGGTTCTATCATGGAGAGATATCCTCAAGATCTTACTAATATCCCCTTTATTAACCCTTAACCCTTTGACTGTTTCAGTCATATATACATGTATACGTCTTAAGAGGTACCGTGTTTGACGTATATATACAGTGGACCCCCGCATACCGTACGCATCGCATACCGTACAATCCGCATACCGCTCGCTTTCGCAAAAATTTTGCCTCGCATACCGCCCAAAAACCCGCTCACTGCTCTTCGTCCGAGACGCGTCCAATGTGCGGCCTGAGCCACGCTCACATGTTCCGCCGGTGGCATTGTTTACCAGCCAGCCTCCGCGGTAACATCCAAGCATACAATCGGAACATTTCGTATTATTACAGTGTTTTTGGTGATTTTTTCTGGAAAATAAGTGACCATGGGCCCCAAGAAAGCTTCTAGTGCCAACCCTACAGCAATAAGGGTGAGAATTACTATAGAGATGAAGAAAAAGATCATTGATAAGTATGAAAGTGGAGTGCGTGTCTCAGAGCTGGTCAGGTTGTATAATAAACCCCAATCAACCATCGCTACTATTGGTGGTACAGCTGCTGATGCTGCTGTACCACCGTCAGCTGCTGCTGCACTGTCAGCTGCTGCTGCATTGTCAGCTGCTGCTACTGTTGTACCACCGTCAGCTGCTGCTGCTGCTGTAGTACCGTCTGCTGCTGCTGTAGCATCGTCTGCTGCTGCTGTAGCATCGTCTGCTGCTGCTGTAGCATCGTCTGCTGCTGCTTAGCATCGCTGTGCTGCTGTAGCATCGTCTGCTGCTGCTGCTGTAGCATCGTCTGCTGCTGCTGTAGCATCGTCTGCTGCTGCTGTAGCATCGTCTGCTGCTGCTGTAGCATCGTCTGCTGCTGCTGTAGCATCATCTGCTGCTGCTGTAGCATCGTCTGTTGCTGCTGTAGCATCGTCTGCTGCTGCTGTAGCATCGTCTGTTGCTGCTGTAGCATCGTCTGTTGCTGCTGTAGCATCGTCTGCTGCTGTTGTACCACCGTCAGCTGCTGCTGCTGCTGTAGCACCGTTGTTGGTGTGGCTTATTGAGAATACCAAGAAACAATTAACCCCAGAGGATTTGCCACCCAGGATAACCCAAAAAAGTCAGTGTCATCGAAGACTGTAACTTATTTCCATTGGGGTCCTTAATCTTGTCTCCCAGGATGCAACCCACACCAGTCGACTAACACCCAGGTGAACAGGGGAAAAATGCCTGGAACTAGTGCTCATATTGGTGAATTTAAAGCCAGCAAAGGTTGGTTTGAGAGATTTAAGAATCGTAGTGGCATACACAGTGTGATAAGGCCTGTTCTGGAAGAAAATGCCAAACAGGACCTACAGTACTCAGGAGGAAAAGGCACTCCCAGGACACAGTGTCTCATCAGTCATTGCTGCATCTTCAATAAAGGTAAGTGTCATTTATTCTTCATTTAGTAGAGTAGTACATGCACAATATATAGTGTGCATGTACTACTCTACTATTGTGCATGTATCCTTCTCTTTGTGTGTAGGAAAATGTATATTTCATGTAGTAAAAAAATTTTTTTCATACTTTTGGGTGTCTTGCACGGATTAATTTGATTTCCATTATTTCTTATGGGGAAAATTCATTCGCATACCGAACATTTCGCATAACAACCAGCCCTCTTGCACGGATTAAAGTCGCTATGCGGGGGTCCACTGTACTCATAAATTCTAGCAGCTTCAAATCAAGCTGGTAGGCCCACATGTGAGAGAATGGGTCTGTGTGGTCAGTGTGCCCATATAAAAAAAATCCTGGCGCAGAGAGTGCATAATGAGAAAAAAAAAACTCCGACCGTTTTTTTTTAAATTAAAATGCCGACTTTGTGGTCTATTTTCGGATAGTATTTATGGTTGTATTCTTGTTTTTTTGGTCTCATTTGATAGAATGGAAAATATATTATTGAAATAGAGGTGATTTTGATTGATTTTTTTATAAAAAGGACCTATTTTGAATAAAAATTCAAAATAGAAAGCAAGAGTAATATCAGAGGGGCCTGGAGACGTGACTGATGAACAAAGAAAATGTTATTTTAGAGCCAGGAATGCCTGCATTGTTCATTCTGGACCTTATTTTGAAATTGTCATATTTTTTAATTTTCGTGAAATTGGCCAAATTGCAAATTTCTGACCACGTTATTGAGTAGTTGAAATTGGTATATGGGCAGTGTCTTGTACTCAATCGATAGAAAAAAACGAAGTTCTAAAGAAATAGCTATGAGTTTGGTCGACTGAAAAAATGGAATTAGCCGAAAATAGGGCTCAAAGTGGGCGAAATCGCGGATTTGTAAATATCGCTGAGGTCGCTAACTTTGCGAGAGCGTAATTCCGTCAGCTTTCCATCAAATTTTGTTTTTTTTAGTGTCATTACAATCGGGAAAAGATTCTCTATCATTTCATA